GTGAGTATATTTAAGGTATTTTCGCTCATCTTACAATACTTGATTGATATGTTCCACAAAATTGTCCGTAAAAACGAAATCTGTGCTAATGTTTAAGAGTAATAGCATTAGGAAGCGAACGCATTCACATACCACTTGGAGCTAATACCATTTTTTTGTATTCTTCAAATAATTACTGTTAATTCGTTTATGGCATAAAAACGTATGGTATATAGCTGTGGATGATGATCTGATTGGCCCCGAATTCATACACCACCACGTGCCGAGCGCTTGAGAGAAAATGAGAGTTCGGAAATAGGGTGCTGGGTGAATCGAAGTGGATTTGTCCATTTGCCTTTAATTGGAGAGAGTCGGCGGTGAATCGGTGGATGAGAAGAGCGATGAAGAGGTAACTGCTTAATTACATAGATATAGCGAACCGCTCTGATAGATTATAGATCTATCTAATTGCTATAATTGGAATTGGACGATCAATACATGTAAATTTCTCCAACCCCTGAGCGCGAAAATTATTACACATGTACATATTCAAATACTGCGTATTCATAACCTGGTATTTTCAGACCTGTATGGCCTCTGTCATTGGAAAAGAAAGCTAGACACATTTCCAACCGCTGCGTCTGCTATGCAATGACATGGCGTATATAATGTATCTGTGGACAATCATCATCACCGTTTTCATCACTTTTTGAGTATTGAATACTTTAGTCTCGGCAATACAAAGCCACCCCCTGTAGGTGTTCTTGCCAATAGGGTTCCAAATATGTTTCAACTATATAATGACTTCCATACGAGCTGTTAAATTACACAAAGATGGTAATTTAGAAGCGGTAATCACAGAGACCTATCCTGCTGAGGGCTTTAAAAATACTAGCATGTAGAAAGGTCTGAGTTACGGTCCCACCAATCGTATGATGTGTAGGCTGATATATTCGGGGTAAAGACAATTTGAAGCCGTTATGAGAGCTAATTGGAAGCTAATTGATAAGCACTTCGTCGTTTATCAACCGTATTCTCGGTAGTTCTGGGATCAAATGATACACATGGAAGCAAGATCGAGAGAAAACCGTGTTCATATTTCAATTATCATTCGATGTGTTCTAAGATGTTGATAATTAGTAAACTTTAATTTCCTGGGGGCACTTTGGCGTGTTTTGATTGGTGCTAACCTGTGCCATGGAATCATCCTAATTTATAAACCATAGTTATATAAGAAACATTTAACTCACATAGACCAGTTTCCAACGTGCATACAACATCATAATAACGGTAATTTGCAAAACTGCGTGAGTTTCACGGTAACGACTGATAGCGGCGGTAAACGGACACTTTCAGCCCTTAATTGTTACCATCCTGTTCGTTTTACTTTACAATGAATCCTTAATACATCGCAATTTTGATCGTAATAAATTAGGTTTTGAAAATTTCTTAGTGTTTTCACAGTTTAAATCGCTTGTTTTTGTTGCTTGAAATGGAGACGTGTGGAAGGCGAGTTTGTAGTTAAATTGGGCGATATTAGTGCAAAATTGCTACTAACTACCATTTAAATACAGGGTGCTTTTCTGGCAAGCAATTATTTGGAATCTAATTTTCCGCTGTTTGATATTGTCGGGCGGAAAGAATAGGTACAGTATAGGAAATAAGGAAAGGACAAGTATGTAATTTTACCCATTTCACACCCAATTTGCCCAAATTTGGATCATTATGCTAATTTGACAAACAGTGGCATAGGGTGTGAATAAGATGTACAAAGAGAACACTTACATGAGGGGGATTTACAAATAAATATCTGTGGAGTTATATCGAATCACGATTTAAACGCACAGACCTGGTCGGCCCGCAAGAAACACTTGTTGACAGAACAAAGGTGCAGTAAAGGTCGCAGTAATTTGAGTTCTGTCTAGCAAAGTGGGGAATTATGGCAAATATGAATTCTAAAATGGAACCATGTACTTCAGAAAGCAGCGCTACAGCGACAATGAGACAATTGAAAGCCCGCGAAACAAATATACAAACCATTTGGCTAAGGCAGTGTTAATAAGTAGTGCAAAACTTCGCAACTTTGCTCATTTGGTGTCTTTGTATACGTACTAGAAATGGACGCCCTCAATCGTAAACACTGTATCGGATTTAATTGAGATAACCTTGGATGACGTCACACTGTTCTGGCATTAGACTGAACAAGTTGTCTTCCTTTAAATGCTATTTAGGCAATTCACTTGGTAATCTGACAAGCAATATGAGTATTGATCACCATGGAAACGCCATCCGTAAAACATACATCTTTGATAATGTTCCCCTCCCAACCAATCAAAGGATTTTAACGACAAACACTGCGTGAAAGTTTACTCGGGATATAAACCCAAACAAATGCTCACGCCAACCCTTCTATCTGCGTTGACCCTCATGTAAAATCCAACTCTACCCAGCCCGAGGTACATTCCATTCCTTTACTTCATCTAACCAGAATAAACCAAACGTACATACAACACCTCTTTATTACCTATTCCCAGCTACCATAAAATATGCGCTGACAATATCGTATGTACTCCATCTTTTCATCGCAACGCTTATTTGCGAAGTCAAGGCGGTTTTCTCACACACTGACAAGTGGCAGTCTGAATGCTAACCGCAACTGTCCACACCTCACAGTGTTCAACTGTAAACTGTATACTAGCACCGTTAGGAGAAAAAAGGCTGAATGGAAAGTGAATAAAGTCACTTGTTCAGCTATGTTATTTTTATATGATTAAATGAACTGAGATGCGAGTACAATGTGTAGTGTGTCGCTTTGTTTGTGCAGCTGGTTTGTCCTCTCTGTTCGATGGGACAAAACAGTGTATTGAGACGTAGTTATGGCAGTATTGGCCAGTGCACGGATAGTTGGTACAGTTTGGATGCCACTCATTGACTGTGTTGTCTACCAAATATGCGCACCGACGAAGTGTTTTGTGTGCAGGCTGAGATCCGGTCTCCAATTGGGACACCATTCAATTGCGAGTGACCTTTGCTTGATTCTAGCAAGCAACTCCCCCACTAGAGACCAGTCAAAGTTTTCCCAACTCTCCATAGCCGTGTTTGCCTTTTGAACTGTTAGTCAGCTGACCCAATGTCAGTTGTAGTCATCTA